GATCATCATCCTGGACGAGCACAAGATATCATGAAGAGTCACTATTTATATTCCACTATTGCAGTGAGTGGAGGGCATAACAGGCACATCAACAGAAAGATAAAAGTAACCTGAAGACATGAGGCTCGCACAGCCGCGCATCAGAGCTGCTGTCCACATGACGATGCAGTCTGTGATATAGTGCTGAATGCAAAGCAGGCCGCAAGGAAGGAGGCTACTTCCTTCCTAACAATGCGGATTTTTCCTTTAAAGACAAAATCCGATTTTAAGATAGAGTGAAGCTATTTCACACATTTCTGAATTTCCCTAATGAAGATGTACAATATATCAGGTTATTTAGTTGAAGAGTATGAGGATTTCCTCTTGACTATATCTTTGACCACCTCTGGTGAAAATGTGTATATCCGTGTGTGTGTAGAGAGACTTGACTCTATGCAGCAGCAGAATAGAAAGTATTTTCTATTTTAAAAATATTCTTCCCTGGTTTGAAATCTCTTTCCCCCCTGCAGCATAATATAAAAAAAGCCACCTGGATTTTCGGCCACAGGATACCCTCTTCAAAACTGACTTTATACACCATGAATTTAAAGCAGTAGTTGGTCACTGACAGCCACACACTAAAACGTATGCCTGCAGACAGGGAGGCAGAGTTGGAGCAAAGAAAACACGCATGCACAAAATACACTGGTGTAAACACACACACACACACACATACACACACAAATAGAAACGCACAGTGTACAAGGAAGCAGAGACTCACACACCGAGTTAGTTATGTGCTGCTCCCCAGAATATTAATACTTAAAAAAGATGCCTGCAGCTAGAGCAGAACAAATCTAAAACAAGACCACTTATGAAAACAAATTTCCTGCGTCTATTATTTTAAAATGGTCATTAATGGATCCTATATGGCCTATGTATTCTTCCTGTGGCGATATATTGCATAGGTAGCTGCAAGCTTCCTGTCGGATTTATTATGGCTTTAAAAACAAAATGCAGACTTGGGGGGGGGGTGCTGGCCCCATCGTGGGTCTCTGTCTACCTAAAGCCGAGCTTTCCCTGTCTCCACCTCCAAGTGGGAGAGCAGGAAACTGGGCCGAAGAGCGTGCAGCCTCCCCTGTGCCTCCTGGGTGAGGGCTTGATCCCCAGACAGGCCGGTTAACACCAGCAGACAGCTGATATGCTTCACACAAGACAGTATATTTCTCAGCCTATTAGACATTACAGTGCTGATAACAGTGGGAGGATAACAGCAAGCAACCACATATGTAGGAATTTGGAGACACAGTAAATACAAATGACTTTACTTGTACAAAAAGCACACAAGAATTAACCCTGCTGTGACATCCTCTCTCAATAATATAGATACACACAAACACACATATATTGGCGTTCCCGTGTGTTAATCTTTTATCTGTTGGAAATCCATCTGACCACACAGCCAGAGGTCTGACCTCTTGCCCTCATATACACTAACACCAAAGGCTTAGATGCCCTACACAGACTGAAGATACAAATGCACACTTGAGGATATGCTACAGCATTTGTAATCTAATCAGTAAAGCAAATATAATATGTCAACAGGGGCTAGGTTAATTGATTGTTTAGTCTATAAAATATTATAAAAATAGAGAACAATATCCATCACAACTCCCTAAAGCCCAGTGACATCTTCTCATTGGTTGTTTTGTGCGACCAACAGTCCAAACACCAAGGTTATTCAGTTTACAATCACAAAAGACAAAAAACCCAGCAAATCCTCCCAACTGAGAAGCTGTAAATAGTGGATATTTGGCATTTTCTATTGAAAAATTGAAAAAATAGTTGCAGATTCATTTTCTGACAATCAACTCATCCATTATTTATTATTTCTCTTGTATCAACATTACATTTTCACACAGTTAAAGAGAACATTTTGTCAAAGCAGCATGCACACCAACAAACTCCAGTAGAAAATTCACATTGTTTCTGTCTAATGAAAACCTGCTGTATCCCCCAAAGTATTTTTTATTTTTTCTCAGGAAATAAGAAGCCTTGTGTGTAGATTCACCATGATGTTTTTAAAATGTATTTAAATGTTCTGAAAGGATCTCATAACAAAAGAGGTTACATTATTGAAGACCATGTGAGCCATCAGCAGAAAAAGTCCCCCCAAACTGTAATTTCAAATGGATGGGTGATGACTGCATTGTTTTAGCACCCTCTCCTGCTGCACAGTATTTGGTGACTGGTGACTGAGTAATATTAATAGGTGTCTCTGGCTGGTGTTTAATTTTGGGCCTGTGCCCAAGTATGGGCAGACAGTGTGCCCCCCAACTGGCATCAGACCTGTTAAACTGCCTTTAAATACAAATTACAGAGATGACAATACACTCCCCCTACACAGAACACATACGGTCCTCACATGGTTCTAATTAGCCAAGCCAAAAGGTGTTGTGTTCGTGTGTAAGCATTTAATGTGTCTGTCCGTTTGTGTGAGAGCGTACGTTGTGTGTGTCTGTGGCGAGAACAGGCGGGTGTAAAATTGCAAACACCTGCAGCTTGTAAGCAGAGTTGGGCTCTGTGACATAGTTTGCCTAAGTCTTAACGACCGCCGTTATCTGTGAGCATAAACGTGTCACAATGCTGCTTGCACTGAGTGGACATAAGAGGTAAATGTCCCTCGAGTCAAACCTGGGGCCAAATACTTTTTATAGACAGTGTTTATTCTCCTCCAGTGGTGACTGAGCCAGCTTCTGATTTTTCATCAGAAGGATGAAATTCAGCCAGAAGTGCCAATGACAATTTCTGTATCATCACCTCCAGCGCTGCTGCGGAAGTGCTGCCCCCTGTTGGGCCCCTGTCTTCATGCAGGGTGAAATGTGAGCACCCTGAAGCAGAGGGCATAGCTTTAACGGCAGAAATGCTGCTCATGCTGTGCGGCAGTGTGTCTCTCACACACACATACAGGCAGAAATACCTTGGCCTGTGATCCTGGTGGTGAGAGATTCAAGTTTCAGATGGGAAGAGCTGGTGCTAAAGGGAGAGAAGGGTCTCTTCTTACAGTGTCGTGTTGAGAGAGGTGCCTCTGTCGGCCTCTCAAAGGCTCAGGGACAGAAAGTCAGACTCACACACAGACATCACACACGCAGCCACATGAGACTATGATACAGACTGCACACTATCTCAAAAGGACACAGATGGGATGCACACATGTAGGCACAGCACACCTCAGTTAGATGTACATAAAACATAAAAACATTTGACATAAAAAATATTTGGCACAAACGCATGCACACTGCTGATAGTACCCAGCTCATGTGGTTTCTTGAGCGCAAAGCACCTCAGAGAAAAAAGCTCTCAGAACCCAAGGTTATCGGTTGAGAAACCCTCTTTAGAAATAAACATACTATGGAGAAATGTTAACAAGTCAGTATTGAGCAATCTAATTGTTGGGACATTATGCATGTCCACAGGCATTCTGTTGCCATCAAAGCCACAATAAACAAAATAGCCTTTTGTTTCGCACAAAATAAAACACCATATTTAAAGAACAGAAACAAGAGACCGAGACCTTTAAATAGACTTCTGAATAGTTGTGGAGGGATTGTGTTTCAGTGCTGAAAACCACTTGATTACACAGCAGTTCAGCCAAATTGACAGGAAAATGGGTCGCAACATCTGATACAATAATATGATCTAATGGAGTAATTACATCAAAATGCATGAGTGCCCAGCAGGGGCAGTGCAGGCTAGCCCTAATTGGGCAACTTTGTACAATGCACATGTACCTCTGATGACAATTCTGCTGAGTCATACTAAGTAGAAATGCACTGAATGTAGAACTAGTGGAACTACAGTAAAGAATTGCAACTCGCATCAACAGTATCAGGGGCTTTGGCTCTGCTGAATCCAATGCAAACAGCAAATACTCGTGCCACCTTCAATGACCAGACAGAGCCAGCGAGCTATCTTGGCTCGGCAGACTTCAGACTGGAAAACAGAATGTGTTGAAAAGGGGCCAGAAATTCCACTTGTGAACGCTTTCACCTGTTCTTGTTGTTGTTGCAGGGCTATTCACACCCGGAGAGAGAGAGAGAGGGATAGGGATGGAGAAAGTGAAACAGAAGGAGCAAGGACAGAAAGAAAGAAAGAAAGAAAGAAAGAAAGAAAGAAAGAAAGAAAGGAAGAAAGAAAGAAAGAAAGAAGAGCCAGGGAAGGAAATTCCCCAAATGTGTAGATAATCATCTTAAAATCTCAACCTCTGCTGCAACTTCTTGATGCAAACAAAGAAATGTGTGCAAGCATATACTCTCTCTTCAGTAACAATGGTAAGTTTGCACTTACCAGTGTATTGGTGCAATTTTGTTCAAAACTGGAATGTCATGAATGCCAGCTTCAATGAAACACACACACCCTGTTGCTGCAAACCAGAGAATTTCTCTTGCAATAAAAAACAACTTTCTTTTCCATAGGTAACATAGCCTGTGTAAACTATTAAATACACAGATGAGATCAGTTGGTCACACCCACCAGTGTTCACGCTGTATCAATTAGGTGTGGACACATCACATCAGTAGCTTTACCCAAAATAAAAGAAATACCATCTTTCTTTAATTCACGGGCATAACTGGGGACTCTGTGTGTAACATGATGTGGATCACACTCTGTTCTCCATGCGTGGAACTATCACAAGCCCTGTAAAAGAACACCACAAGCCATTCTTGGCACACGGCTGGTCCATCTATTAAAGTGAGCATCCCCCACTGACACGAGGCATCAGGGCTCAGGCTGGACATCCCAACCCCACTGATCTGCAGTCACAGTATGGGCTGTGCACAAACACACACACACACACACACACACACACACACAGACTCTCTGTGCCAAAAGCATCATAGGCAGACAAACAATCAGGTTTCACAAGAAGTCAGTCATGGCTGTAACTTTAACCTGATAGGGTACTTGTTTTTAGTGTCTTGTATGTTTTCATTGTGTGTTTTGTTAAGTGGCGCAGGTACCTGGAGGACAGGAGCACTCTTGGCCAACATCCCTAGTTGTCCGCAATTTCGGCATCAGCACCACCACTTTCTGCAGACACAGAGCAAATTCCAGTGTAAGACAATACCCACTATTCTCAAACATGAATATACCCTCAATCTGAAACAGTATAAGTTATGAAATTTTAAATCTTCATTTGTTTGACTACGTTTTGTTAGCCAGAATAGTTCAGATTTGTCAAACAAACGGGGATAAATGAAAATCATTAAGCAAACATTCAGAGAACGCAACACGACTAAAATTATCCTAATGAGTAGCAATAACAATATTGAGATCGTAATCTTTCTCCCGTTACATACAGCTCTAGAATGAAGGGAGTCTCCTCAGTTTCTTTTCCACGTGATAAAATTATAGGTTGGTGTGTATCATCAGTGGTTATGTCACCCTATAAAGAGCTTTAACTGCAAACTAATTGGCCAGCTGCATGCACGGCTGATCCCTAAGATCAAGCATTATTAGGGGGTGATTTTAGGGGGAATAATTAGGGTGCAATTGCCAAAAAGTGCCATGTTTGTGCGTTTGTAAACCTCACTGCATATGTTCCCTGTTATTACGCACACTTTACGCACAGGCGAGCAGCGCCCCTTTTGAGGGTTCACATACACAATATTTGTATTCATCAACAGTTTTAATTAAATTCACAATAGACGTCATGTACCTCTTCCACGAGCCTCCCTATTGGTGTGCTCAGCTCTGGAATTAGGGTCCCATCTTCGTTTAGAAAGACCCTGTGCTGCGGGTGGAAGCTGGACGCTTTGTCCATCTCCATCTGCAGCCGGTTCTCCAGCTGGTAGGTCCTGAAGCTCATCAGAAGACACACGGTGACGGAGCTCAGGGACATCAGCAAACACAGAGCGATGGGAAAACCCGAAAGCCACCGCTGGACCAGGGACTTGGGCGTACACTGACACACCGGCTTACTTTCCCCGATAGAATCGCTGTCTGTATCCATGCTGAAATCCTGCTTCAAAGTCCTCTTAATGAAAAGAAAATAGCTTGTTTTGCTGGTGCAGTTTTGTAACCAAACTGTGATCAGGCTCCGAGGACAAACTAAGCAGCGCACCTAACACATTCACAACTCTAACTCCAGAACACTCGGGGTTCAAAGCGCTGTCTCAAATTAGTCTGGGAAGAGGCAGCAGCAGTGCGCAACGGGTTTACGCCAGGCACAGATGGGAGCGATCTGGATGTCCAGAAAACCAGAGAAGCGGCGCCAACCAACTAGCAGGTCGTTGCTTCCTGTCGGGGAGTATCGTACGTGGACCTGCAATTGCAACTACCAACAGGGCCAATTGTTTGTCTCCCTAAAAAGTTGCAAGTTCAACTAGTTAAGATGCGCCCGCCCTGCTGACCACGTGGGAGGCTGCGGATTGACAGCTGTAAGGGTTTGCCAACTTCACTGGACCAGATCAATAATGTCCACTCTGACTGCAGCTAATATTTTTCCAAATCCACTGTAGTGGACAAAGAACTGCTAGAACTCTGTGACTCGTTAATGAGAAATTGTGAATGTTGCTCGATCACTTGTTTATGAGACTTCCAAATACACGAGCGGGAAGATCTGGTTCCTGTTTTCCCATTTAAGTCTGAATAACAAAAAGACACTTAAACTAGACTGTATGTCGCCTTAAATCGTCAACAAGGGACGCATCTTGTGCACAATACATGGTCGATCGTCTTCAGAAAACGACAGTTCACAAAGGATGTAAATTACCATATTACGATCAAGGCAATTTGTTCCCACATTCAACCTAGAAGCGTGAATTACAAAAATAGTGTAGTCCAATTTCTAATTTCCTATTTATAGTTTGGAGTATGTCAATTGTTTTTGTTGTCAAACCAGTTCTACTTTTCCCTCGGAACAGTCTGTAGTCGGCGTTAATGTTAACATTTTAAATACATATTGTTTTACAGCAAGAGGCTGAAATCTCAACAGGTAAATATTTTTATTTAAAAAAAAAAAATTCATTCTAATTTTCTGTTAAATTTATTTTTCATATCAATGCCAACATGGTTAGATTTAGGTTAATGCCCTGTTAGCTCTACCATGTTGGGTTGTCCAACGATAATAAAGCTTTGTAGCGCCGTCCTGTGGATTAATGCAGCTACTGCACTTAAGTGAACGTCTCTCCATCTCGGTACATTACACACTAGACACTTCTGTCCATTCACGTTTATTGAGAAAATGTACATGATACTGCAAAAGTTACATAACCAGTCAGTGAAAATAAATTTGAACAAATTCTATGTACAAGGATTTTCTGCCCGCAATAACTTTATTTACATCTACAATGCTGAATAAATTACTCATGAGAATAATGCAGGGTAGAGCAATTCTCCATCAGCTACATGACCCTTCACCCACAGCAATGCAGAGAGAACAAGGACAATATTGGACTGATAATGAATAAAACACAGCTCTACCAGTATATTATTAGAAGCTACAAATTAAATTACAATGGCAAATAAATAGAAATCAAATGAGGTATGCATTACTTGAGAACATGCCACAGATGAAAAAACAAAACCTGTTCAGGAGTGAGACTAAGAAACACACTGGCTTAGGACAGGACACAGCGAAGCAGGGCAGTGGACTGATACAGTCTGTTTAGGTACACCTCTCCTGGAGAGGCAGGAAGTAGGGGCCAAGCACCATGATAAATGTCATGGTGACAGCCAGGCCCTGACCGAGGTTTCAGGTCAGAGGTTTACAGGCTCAGGAGTTCAGTCTTTTTTGCTGCTGCTGCTGCTGCTTCTGCTGCTCTTGTGGTAGCAGGAGAAGAAGGGATGTCGGAGGCCTGCTCCAGACTGAGGCGCTTAGCTGGGTCATACTCCATCAGCTTCTCTATCAGGTCAAACAGCTGCTGGTGGTCTTCACCCTTAGACATCATGTAATGCTGATGGGGAAAAGTTGTATTTGTAAATCAGTCTCTTTAAAATAGGTCATGGTTAACTTAGTGCTCTGCATTTCCAATGTTCTAAATTACATGTGTAAACTACTATGGTAAATTTGGTTACAATTAATTAATTGACTTTCAGATGATAATTGAACTTATGAGGTCACAGTTTAAAGTGTTTTAAAAGAAACACAAAAGAATAATTTAATCCTTGAAATATATTTAAATAATTGGGATGTGTTAACTCAGCATAGGATGAAGACTGGCTGCTGGGGAAAACAACTAGCTTAGTTTAGGTGAGGTGCCGTCCATCAACACCAAAGCAGGCGTGTATTTCACTTAGACACAGTTAGTTTACAAATTGGACTCGTTTTATGACCAACAGCTGGGCTCAAGGGCTTCATGCAGCAAATTAGGAATGCTGTTCTCATTGTAGTGTCACTGGTAGCTGACATGATGCAACATGTAAACATCAGAGTTGCAGGAAGGTTTATTTTCAGATGTGATTCTTAGAGTACAGGATCACTCCAGCACTGACTGTCTAGAATAGCGTTCCTCATACCTTCAGGGGCTTGCAGTGTTTCCTGACATATCTCCCAGATGAGCTGTGCACATCCCAGTTGAGCTTACACCGGTGAACATAGCGCTGTTTCCTGTACAACACACAATCACCACAAAATTATTACAAATCCAAACAAGATAAATCTATCTAGGGCTTATATTCAAATGGCCTTATAAAAACCCACAGAAATGTTTAAAAAGGCCAGTTAGCGGTCGCCTTACTTTGTTTTCTGCAGGAGCTTTGTGGGGATGGGGCCCAGGACTCTCTCCATCATAGCAAGGTGCTCTTTACTGTCATGGGTCTGAAGAAGAAAATAATATTACTCTCATTACCAAACACCATGGTTAATAGGTGCATTCAATATGACAGCGGCTGACTTTCGCCGACTAGATTGTCTAACGTTAACTGCAGGTAACTGCATGGGGGGGTATAAAAACAGCGCCATCAAGTCGGACAAATGACAAGATAAATGACTGATCTTGCAGCATTTGCAAAGAAAAATGCATTTTTGTGCCGCTGGAGAAAAGAAGCTCCAGGCTGCTAAATGTCATTTGACATGGTGACGTTTTGCAGCGGCAGCAAAAGCCAGACAATTTTTAACCAGCATGCATCACGTTAAGTCAGCGCTGCACAGTGCCACATGAAGTCAAACGCACCTATTGTTACAGTATTAACAGTTAGGCTCTCTACTGCCACCTACTTGGAAGAGAGTAGATCCAAGGTAGTACTCGATGAGTATACAGCCTACGCTCCAGACATCACAGGAATGGTCCCAGCCCAGATCTGAAAGAGACAACGGTTACCTAATCACCAGTAAAGGATCCATTTAAAGCTGCAGTGCTTTTAAAAGAGGAAAGGAGCCACTTACCTAAAATGACCTCAGGAGCACGGTAGTGACGTGTCGACACCACCGAGGTGTGGTGCTCGTGTTCATATGTAGCATTACCGAAGTCCACAATTTTCACATCAGGGTGCTTCAATGTTCTTTCATCCCGTTTCTGCGAAAAAACACAAAATTATGCTTCTCACACAGCCGCCGGCACAAACAAAGACTTCTGACAATACTTCAGCAGGTATGGTACGCTTACCATATCAGGGTTGTACTCCATAACATAGTCTGAATTAATGAAGAGAATGTTCTCTGGCTTCAGATCCGTGTGAGTCAGCTTATTCTTATGCATAACTAAAAGACAAGAATACGTACATTTTTAACACAAGCTGTTGTTTTTACAGCATACTGTTATTTTCTGTGAATGCTTGTGTCTATTACTCACACAGCACAGCTCGGATGATCTGGTACGCCATGTGCCTGATGTGTTCTATGGGGAAAGGCTGGAAGTTGTTTTCCTTGAGGAAATCGTAGGTGCTAAGGCCAAGCAGCTCAAAGGCGATGCAAACGTGGCCGTGGTAGTCAAACCAGTCCAGCATGTGCACACAAGCACTGAAGGGGAGGAAATGTAGAGTAGGTACAAATAAGTTTCTTGTGTGGCAAAATAAGAACATATTTACATATGTGATAACCACGAGGTGATTAGGCTTTTGTGGTATGAAGTTACTATAGATCGACTTACTATCTCTTATCAGAGTCGAGGGACTTCAACTGTTTAAGCACCTCTACCTCAGACAAGGCTGCCTCACGGTAGCGGTCAATGTTTTTTATGATCTTCAGAGCCACTCGAGCTCCATCACTGGAAACACACAAAAATATTTTTAAACATCAAACAAGAGAGAAAAAGAGCGTAAGAAAAAAAAAAAAAATTAAAAACCTTGAGCTGTAAGGAATATTTCCTGATTAATACTTACTTAGAGTGATCAATGCATTCCACAACCTTCCCAAAGGCACCCTCTCCTAGAGTACACACAATCTCATCTACAGAAAATAGAAAGTTGAAGTTAGAAACACAGCACTGACAAAGTGAAACACTGTCCTTTGGCTGGTTCACTGGCTGATGTTACATGGCTCTGTTTATCTACGCTGCTATACACACACAGGCTTCTGAACACTGGCATACAACTCAATGCTAAATATGTTACACTGACAAGCCATATCTAACCAAAAATATTAAGTCTAAATGGCCCAAATACATCAGCCTATAAATTAATGTTTGGAAGTAAAAACCAGACAACAAGAGAGTGAGAGACAAAGTGTGAACAACAGTAGAAAAAAAAAGGTATATATTCTATACATCTCGCTCTCAGCATGTCTCCACTGTGATAGATGAGGTGACCCTCGTCATCATCCTCAACACTCCTGGATCTTTTCCTGCTCCTGCGGTGATGGCTCCTCCTCTGCACCGGAACCGCCGCAATCCGCCATCACATCAATAACCCATCAGTCAGCCAGCACCAGGCCACCACAATGCGACATCGTCATTCATTCAACCAGGCCAAGGGGGGGAGGTGTAGGGGTGGATAGATTCGGCCCGTTCAGTAACACCGCCAGGCGAATGGACGGAAGGACGGAGCAGCAAATTCAAATTCAGCCCCGTCAGAGAAATTGGGCGCCAGCCACCACATAGTGTGCGTTACAGAAGAAAAACATGGCAACAAGATTTTCAGATGAGAGACTTTCTCAGAGTAGTACAGAAAAAACTGAACTTGATTACAGTCTTTCTACATGTAGTTCTTTGTTCGTTCCTATAAAACTTAATTCTTTACCCTCACGTCCCATAACTGCCCACTAAGACTTCACCACAAATACTGGGTCCGCTTCTCTCTTGCAAGTCTATAAACACTCAGAATCCCTTACTTCCTGAGCCCCCAAGTCCCCTATTACTGGAAATCATGCTTAACACTGAAGAGTAGGACACAGAGTCAAAGAGATAGGTGTAAAGCATTGGCTAAACACCAGTGATAATGACGATTTGGTGGTATAGACAGGAGAGGGGGGGTAGAGGGAGGAGGAGGTTCTCGTACCGAGGACGACTTGTGGCGTGAGGGGCTACGCCTGCGCCGTCTGTGTCTGCGGCTGCTTCGCCTGCTGCGACCGCTACGCCCGGATGACTTGCTGTAGTGGTGCCAGTCACGGTCTCTGTCCTTGCAAGTGGCTTCACGACTGTCTTCCTCACAGGCCATGTCCAATCTGCGGTCCTGGGTGTGGCCTTCCCGAGTGTCCAGTCGCTCGTTCAAACTGCGGTTCTCCAGGTAGTGCCTGTAGTCAAACCAAAAAAAATATAAAAATAAAATAAGAACACAAACAGATCAAAAACAAGGACTAGAGTAGGTCAGGAACAGCCGGGATCCTTGTCTGTGATCAAGCTCTAAAATGAAGACTGTATATGAAGGTGCTAATGGTCCGCCTATTGCCTGACACTCTATCCCCTGATCCTTTTACGTAACATTTGTAATTAGAAACAAACTGATTTACAACCACCAAACACCCAAGCATCCTGTTCAATGGGAGGCTGCATTTTATTAAAGGATTATCACTGCACAAAATAGTACTTTAGGAGGATGCACACGCCAACATTTAATCATCTGCCAAATGAGTAAATGTAGATGATGCCACACTTTTCGGCAATTTTAACATTCATATAGCTGTCTCCTTGGAAACCAAAAGCATGCCTTCTTTAAAACTCATGCACCTTGACAGAGAGCCAAACTGTCAGAGAGAAGGTGTGAGGCATTGAAAGTTGCTGAAAGCCTGTCAGCACAATCTGATGTTGCGTAATACGATCGGTGACTCTACACGTGCACAACCACGTACGCCAGAAGTGAACACCTATGTGGTACCATTTGTTCCAATCTGAAATGCACGTCTAAAAAGGGTCTCAAGGGAAATGTTCATTCCTTACATAAAAAGTCCTAAGACCTTCCAGCAATTTCATACATATGACTTTCTCTTAAACATCCTAATGTTTGCTCAGAATGTTTCCAATCACTTCCAGCACACCTGCCCAGCATTAGCACCTAAGCATCTAAAAAAGAACAAGAAACCTCTAGCACCCTAGCACCCTGGTGGTGTCAGTTGTCATCCAGGAAGAAGTCTGCCTCTCTACAGAATTAAAATTAGAGTAGATCTGGAAACATCTAATGTGACCCCATGGGCCATCATACATGCCCACAAAAAGCTACAATTGCAAGACATTAACATTGCACAGACCGCCAATAGATGACCCTGAAATTGCAAATTGACTACATTGTCAATATGAAATGGCATTAAGAAAACAAACAAAGATTTGTTTTAGGAGTTCTAATAATTAAGATTGAAGAAAATTATAATTACCACGATAAACAAACAGAAGGTGTCCTGTTCAACATTAAATACAAGATAAAAGCTAATTTATTCATTTACATTAAAAAAGAAAGTTATTTAAAATCAAATATAACATAAGCTGTTTTCATTGCAGGATCTCAAACTTTCAGTAGTGATCCCAGTATGTTCTTAATGAAGCCTGTCACGTGACAAGTTTATGCTCTAAGACTGAGAATGTGACCACAAATTCTGATATACTCAATACCTTGTAAAACTATTTGTTTTCAAATGTAGAGTTCAAAAACAGACAGATTTTTAAATGCCTGCGGGCAATATAAAACTGTCGTATTTTCTTAGTGCACTGTGCTAATTACAACAAAGTGTCACCAAATCAGGAAAATGCCGCAATCACAATAACAGAAATGACACAAATTGCAACACTTGTTAGAATATAGTGTTTATCATGACAAGAACATCAAGAGTTTTGTCTCTGGAGGTGAAGGCAGGAACAAATCTGATGGAGGCAGATGCCATGTAATTCTCTATGCAGGAAAAACCCTGCATATGTAAGAGGTCTACAGTGTACATACACTCTTCATAGTGAGCACGTGTTGTTTACAAATATAATAATGGTCAACAGGATGCAGACTGAATGAATGTGGTATCATTAAAACCCCAATGGATCTTTATTTATAAATAGTTGTTCCCCAATTAAACCACAGTGTAATTGCTGCCATTTCCTCACACACAATATGCCAATTTGTTTTATTTTCATCCTGATATTTTTCAAAACAGTTTTCCCATATACTTTTAAAGTGATGCAGATAAATCGGTATTTATAAACAGCCGATAAACAACAAACAGAAAGGGATCAATCATGTTATTGTTGCATAGTTTGTCCACAAGAGGGCACCCTGCAACTCCCCTGTTAGCAACACAGGCATTCAGAAGCCACAAATCCACCACAAAACACAGCATTCAGCTGAAATGGTCAGCCGAGCTTTTGTTTAAAGTACTATTTATAACAATAAAAAGTATATTTTTTTAAATGTAAATGTTGTCTAAATTGGTTAGAAATTCCACATCAGTCAGGGTCTAGTTTATATATTATTTAACTGTAAAGTTTCATAACTTTAGAAACCGAAACCCTAAAAAGACATCTTAAAATTTGAGTAGGTACTTTACACAAGAAATAATGGAGATATTTACCCTTCATACGTCTTTTGGCAATGGTGAGTTCTTCTGGACTTATTTTCTCTTTCGCTGCTGTGCGAATCTCGTTTCTTTCGCTTACGACACTCCATTCTCTCTTCCCAGCTGTATTCATCCAGCCAGACACCTGGTGAGCGCATTCGCTTTGAGTGGCGCATCTGCAAGACATAGAAAACACAAGCAAAAATTACATACGCTGGAATTCCACTGGATCATAAGACTTTAATGTCTGTTATTTATCAATAGCTGCAAAATTTGTGTGGCATGGAGTTGCAGCATTACCAACTGTATTGTTTGTGGAGATACCCCTCCCCCAATGCAAAAAAATAAATAAAATTCTATATTTTCATTACATTACCTTATGTAACCATTTGCAACAAGCAGATAATACTAGTCGATCGGGAAAAGCTGTCTACATGTAACCATTTCAAGCAGAAATACTAGTCGATTGTCACTGGGAACCATTCTTTGAACTGAACGTGCCTGGTGGTGATGTGCTGCTACCAGTAGTGATGTGCGGATCGATCCTAAAGTATCAATATTTCTGATACCAACGTTTCGTGCTCTAGGATCGATACTCATATAAAAGGATCAATATCTAAACTCAGTCTTTTGGAGTGAGTATCTTACTGTCACCAGGATGATCTAATTGTACTTGGTTGATAGGAACTGCTTTTCCTTCCGCCTGTCAAAGTCATGCTTGAGCAATGGCTCTGTGACAGAGCTTCTTTGAAGTGAGCCGCTGCAGCCCTTTACATTTCCCACGATTGAATAGGGACACTGGCTGACTGTAAAAACAGTCACGTCTGGTATTTTAGCTGTGAACGTAATAATGTTGCTGTGTGTGATGTCTGTGCAAAGTCAGTGAAATTCTTTGGCAACACCGCAAACTTCACTAAACATCTGAGATTAAGTCTGTCACAATAATAAGATGATGTTATGAAGCAGCTGTTCTGAGCAGGATATTTTTATTATAATTAAAAGAATATGACAGTAGTTTGATGTTTTGTCATTATGCAGCTATTATTTTGAATTGGTAAGGCTACAGCCTACTCCTTATTTCTCTCTAACGTAAACTACAAACAAAAAAAGGCCGTAACGTTTTTCACCAACTCTATGTAACTTAACGTTACTCACTAAAACTTGTTAGCTAACATTGGTTATAACTTGGTGCCAACGTAAACGTGTTGACGACGTTTCCACAACGACTTGATCCCTGTGAAGGTTTTTAACGCCCTAAGATCGTGCACATCAACTCAAATGTTCATCCACTGTTGTATTTACATATAGTCATTTGTAACTCGAAATGTGTTTTTTGCTTTTGACCATAGTTTTAAGTAGTCAACAGGCTACAGATGAACAGACAAAGCAGAAAGTCGTCGAGTGTAGATCTCGGTCCCAAGGCCCGTCGAGCGTTGAGCATGCTAACTGTATTAGCCACCCATTCGACAACATTACCGTCAGTCAGCCTAACTTATTACATTAAATAACGTTAATGTACATTCCAGTGCAGCTAACTACCAACTTTGTAAATGCAACCATTGTAAAAAGCAACGCCCCAATTTTCCAACTTACAGTATCTGAGGAATCGCTAGCCACAGCTAACTTAATTAAGATAAAGATCTGCCATGTTGGCGAGATGTCGAATTTCGCAAAAGCTAACTAGCTAACGTTAGCCATCATTAGTCACATATACATTAAACTGTTAGGTGACAGAATTAAGTGGTAAATGAATATGACCGAAGAATTGGCCTTACCTTTCTTTAACAATTACGAAAGAGCCGGTTTATCGGTTATGTGAACTATATGAACAAAGAAACTGTGCAATGCCTCTGATTTCTCGTCTTCAAAGATGGCGAGCTTCTTCTCTAGAATCTGATAGAACATTCTTAAACATATTCCATGACGTAACACACACAACGCCCCCTCGCTTCACCCATGGATTTTGTTGTCCTCGGTAAATCCTTTCAGGTACAATCAGGCAACATGCATGATTTTACTTTGTGAGTCTGTGAGTGTTGTGTGTCTAAGTGAATGGAAACAGTTCATTTTATGAGAGATTCCAACTTTCGTTACGTTACTACTTTAGCATTTTAAGCTGTCAGTAGTTTTTAAAGATTTATTAGTTGATAGTTGTGTCTGCAAGTATAGTTATGGTAGGCTACTGCACTAGACCTGTTCAACTAACAACTATTTTCAGGGTTGATTAATCTATCAATTATTTTTTAATTATTAATCGATTAGTTGTTTAATTTCTATAACTACACTCTGCATCTCATCTTACAGCCCTGTTGTATGTATAAAAGAAATTCACCTTGTAAAATGTTAGAAAATGTTGAAAAATGTCAATCAGTGTTTACCAAAGCCCTAGATAACGTCCTCTAAATATCTTCCTTTTTGTCCACAACCCAAAGAAATTCATTTTAATATCATAGAGGAGTAAAGCAACCAGAAAATATTTACATTTAAGAAGCTGGGATCAGATAATTTTTCAAACCGATTAATCGACTATCAAAATAGTTGGCGATTAATTGAACAGTTGACAACTAGTCGACTATTCAATTAATCATTGCAGCTCAATACTGCACCAATCTTGAGATCCAGCACAGTGACTGGAACCTATTCTCCAGATAACGAACAATATAATTAAACTTCAAATAAGTTTCTGACCAAGTTTATATCTGAGGAATTGTGGCAGGGCCTTGTCGGATTTAGACTACTGAACAGTTTCCCTGAAAATATCAGATGGCTGACTCTGTGACAATTTGATGCCAAAAGATGCCAGTTTTAGTTGAGTAAATATTTTGCTCAAACCAAGAGTAGAAATAGGCTGCAAAATAAACCTATTGTTGGTTCTGGGAAAGTAGAATTTTAATACAATTGGAACAGGCCTACTAAGAAAGGCTTCTAACATTACATTAAAACAAACAAACAAACATCTGAATCTGCGACATGAAACAGCATGTAGGATAATAATAACCCTTCATAGAAGCAGTGGCGTAAACAGCCTTGGAGGCAGCACTCAGGGCAATAAAACCCTAATTTCTGCGCTTTGAATTGTGGGTAAGACATGTCTGCGCTGTGTCCTCATCTGGAGGACCACCTTACCCAAATGTGGTAAACGACTTATCCAAATTGTACACAAGGGTCTCGAGTTACAAAACGGCGGACTTTTGTTTAAACATTATTTGTGAAGATGTCGAAAAACACGCAGGAGGAGCGCGTCTCTGGAAAAGCGCTCACAAGAGCAGCGATTGCTGAGATGCTGGCGGAGAATTTCGAGAGGCTGCCTGACATAGATCAGAAACTCTTCATGTATGGACCCATGTATCTGGGGGGAAACGCTGCACTTGCAGGACTGATATCTAACAGCTTGTATCGCAGAGCTCTGAATGTTAAACAGGCGCCCATCACCTCCAGCCTGCCGATGGCCGTGCTGCCCTTCCTGACGACATTTGCACTGTACAATGCAGCGGTGTCCAGCCCCCTCATGTCCGGTGACCTCAACTGTCCCTCCTGTGCCCTGATGCGAGGCGCACTTGTTGGCGTGGTCGGCGGTGGGGTGTACCCCATCCTGCTGGCCTTACCTGTGAATATTGGCCTCGCGACCAGGTACGCCACAGCACCGACGCCAGAGAAGGGCAACCTGCTTCGGTACTGGGTGGACCTCTCCAGACCGATCCTGAGGAGAATGAGGGCAGTGCTGGTGCTCCAAGCCTTCTTCGGTACCTACCTGAGCTCCAGGCACTTTGAAATGTACACCAAACTGGCCCAGATAACATTTGGTCCAGGCGGAGAGGAACTCAAAGACTAAAATGAATGATTAGCAGGGTCTCGTGGTGTTTATGCTGATCAATTCACCATTTCATATAGAATATGCCTGAGATTTATTCCCCAGAAATAAATAAAGTGGGTTACCTCACTTCACAATTGTGAAACTGAAAGATTAATTGCTAAGGGAAATAACTGTTAGTTGCAGCCCCTTTTACATGACACTGCTAAAGACAGGGCTGCAACTGACTGCTGATTCCCTAATGAATTTATCTTTGGTGACTCATCTTTGAGTTATGCCTCGATTGCAGCTGAAATCTTGTAATGTGCCTGTCATGTGGTTGTATTTGAATAAAATGTCAGAGCTCATTCTTTATTTGGAAAATCATGCTTGTTTGTGTGAATTCGTGGTCAATGCTTTGATCGAGGCACAAACCTTGACTGGTCAGAAAAATGGAAATCGCTCAAACCAAGCATTATCCTACATCAAAGCTGCAACGATTAATCGATTAGTTGACATTAGTTGTGATTAAATTAATCGCCCGCTATTTTGATAAGAGGTCAGTTTCTCAAATGTGAATATTTTCTACTTTCCTTTCTCCTCTATGACAGTAAACTGAATGTCTTTAGGGACAAAACAACACATTTGAGGACGTCACCTTGGGATTTGGGAAACAGTGATTAACATTTTCAACCATTTTTGGATATTTTATGGACCAAACTCACTGATTAATTTAGAAAAGTAACCATAAAAAATAAGAAAAGAAAGAAAATATCCATTGGTTATTCGCAGCCCTATCTTACACAAAGTAAATTGCAGACAATCAACTAAGCATGGCTCATTTTTATTAAAGGCTTTTCAGGAACCAGTCACACATCTTGCAGTGATGTTGAAGGCTAAAGTGTGTCTGCTTGGCCTCAATCACCATGAAAAACACTGAATACACTCTACTCCTTGAACTGCACATAAAGTTGGCAATGCAGTGACACTGTTAAAAAGAGCAGAACCGATGTAATGTATGTGATTGTCACTGAATACGCATGTTTAACACAGGCAATGTTTTATTAAAACATGTCTTCACTTTAAATGGCAGGTTTGACTTCACATCTCTGGCTCTCTAATAGTCCTAACTTAGCCGGGGAACGTGTTACAGGGAAAGCAAGTTTATTGATGACAAATGAGGAGGGAGAATTAGATCAGTCTGTTATTGAGAGGGAAAGGTGCTTCTTAAGAGGAAACACTGACATCAATCAATTATAGCAAACTGAATAAGACTTATAATTACACAGTTCCCGACCCCTTCCCTATAACACCTCCTCTCCCTCCACCACCCACCCACAAAAAATGGCTCCCGAATCACGACAAAGTTGTTAAAAAACTAAGTTCAGTGACAATCCCACAGAACGATAAACAACACATTTCAAGTCAGAGGAACCTGAATTGTCATAACAATCAGTGATTCATATGGCACAAGTTTCCCTCTTCACTATATAGAAAGACAAAAACCTCAGAGTCATCATTGTCTTTCCACAGAATGCAACAATGCATCACGACTACAAAGTTTGTGTTGCAGTAGTAATCTTTACAAGGTGGATATGCTTAATGCCCCTTTAAAAACACTCGTCGTAGCATGCCATTGGAATTCATATTCAGTAAAGGAAAGTTACAATAAAAACTATACATCTGTCAGCACAGAAATCTCCATAAATATATCAGACAACTGAACATCAGTCAGAGAAAACTTCCTGGAGAGCAGAAAGATGAAGGGTAAATGTCACCTGTACACAATCTACACCTGGCCTGGCTCCTGTTGTGACTGTTAAGCTATACTGTAGTTGTCTTGCATTAATGGCACAATACATTTAAAAAAGGAGTAAACAGTTTTTTTTAAACAGTTCATCTTCCTCATTTAACACTTTCCCAAAATAAAATACAATAAATAAAAACACAAGAAGAGATGACCAATAAACAGGCTTCTCCAGTACACATGAGATGAACTGGTAAAATGCTCAAGGCATGTCCTCGTCTGTCTTCCCAGATACACACAGTTGCCGTTCCTTCAGTAGACCTATAAAATTTGACAGTGGATACGGGCTAGCCAGCGCCCTTCACATCATTGTAAGTTACAGTACATTACAAGTAAAAGGAAAAAAAGTAAAATTAAGTACCTAGACAAGGCTTTGGACCTAAGGGGAAGAGAAAGAGCAAATACAAAAACAACGATAGCATCAGTAGGAATTTCATTTTATAAAGTGGTTTTCCCTGTAACTGTACTCTCTATAGTAGTAAACATATCTTCACAGAGTAAACACACATCGAGGG